TAAGGGATCTGGCATTTGCAAACGGCCAGGACAGAGCTTTCAAACGCATGGAAAACATTATCCAGATCCCCTTTTTTAAGATGGTCTTGGGTTTGGTTTTGAGGTTTTTTTTGTTTCTTTGGGTTTTGGTTGGGGTTTTTGTTTTTAGCTTTAGACTGTAACTTTTTTTGAGAGTTTAGACCTAAGTAGTGATTCCCTGGGGCTGTGCTGCTGCTGTAACCTGGCTGCCTGACAGCTCTCCGATGAAGAACTGCAGCAAGCAACACGAAGTGCTGTGTCAGACGCGGCTGAGCTGTCGGCCGTTAGCAGAGTGTTGGCCGAGGACACCCTGAGCATCACCTTTGCAGTGTTCAAAATGTGAGTGCAGGACGTGACCGGGCCTGTGTGCAGGCAGCCTCGTGCTGGGGCTTGCAGGCGAGGTGGGTATGCTCTTAGGGTGGGACTAAGGCGACCCTGGGCAAGTCCCAGGTCACTGCTACGTTGCGTGATTGTGTCTCTCTGTGAGCCTCAGTTTCCCTTTCTGTAAAGTGGAGAAATCACAGTGGTCTCCTTTTAAAATGCTTGGAGATTTAGGACTTGTCGCTCTCAAATAAGAGAAAACCAATTGCTAGAAACACCCAAGACACTTCACCTCCCCAAAAGTTGGAAATGTGAGCAGTGAACTGTGAGCGTGCAAGCCTGGCCGGAGCAGTGCCGTCTCGGCCAGGGCCAGAAGCAGGCATGTCTGAAGGGGACCAGGAGCTCTGCATTGCTGATGGCAAGCATCTGCGGGGTGTTTCTTCCGAGGCACCCTGCGCTCGTCCTGCAAAAAAGGATTTGGGTTGTGTCTTAGTAAACCATTTTTGGCCTGTCTGTCTTCACTGCAGATGTCTGTCTGGTCTGCCTGTTTAGCCCTTGGATACTGCAGCCGGCAGTGACAGTACCAAGAATTAACTATACCTTGGACAGAAAGGGGTCTCTTAATCAGGATCCTTCCTGAGCAGCTTATTCCTGGAGCACAGGGTCCCTGTCTCCTTGGGCAGCCTGGGAGTACAAGCAGTACCTTTCAGCTGCAAGGATGAAGGGGAGCTTGGGAGGAGAGCTCAGTGCCCTGCTCAACCCTTGTCTGCTCTTAACAGAACTTCTACTCCAGCCAGAAGCATCTCTGTATGATGGCAGAAAGGAGGTGCAGATCCTTCCTATGGGTACCCTGGCTCCAAAGGAGATTCTTTGAGATCATCTTGTCAGATTCACTGGGACAACAGCGCAGTTTTGTGCCCTGAAGCTGGCATCGGGTTTCAACAGAGGTTAAAGAAACTCCATGTGTTTATGCACATTATTATTGTGTAATACTTGACTTTGCAAACGTGAACCTAGTAAAAAACTTTGTAAACAGTGGAGGAAGAGAAATAACCCCCTCTGCTGACTTCTGGGAGAGAGTTTCTCTTTCTGGCTGATGATCTAGACTTTGCTGGTTGTTTCTTAGCAGAAACTGGGAATGAGATCCAGAATCACAAATGTGTTACTTGAAGTAAGGTTTCTTTCATGGGTTCCTTGACCTCTTCTCAGACTGTGCTGGGAAGAACTCCTTTAGTGCAAATATAACTAAATCAAACGTGGGATTTTTGCTTTCTGCTAAGATCTAGCCCTGGCTTTTATGTTCAGCAGTACAGCCCAGGGCTTCTGAATCAAATAGCAAAGCTCCCACTGAGTTCATCACAAGAACAGGACGAGGCCTAGGCTCATCACACTTTTGAACATGAGGCAGCCTTAAGTTCTGGGGGTGCAGGGAAGTTTAGGCTTTGGTTTTCTTGGCTGGAAGTGCCAGAAAGCCTGGCACAGCCTGCCCGGAATGGGGCTCCCTTGGAGGGATCCCTTTCTGCCACCCCAGCTGACGAGGATGTGGGGCTGCTCAGCTTCCAGGGCACGTCTTCCTTCATCTCAGGGTGGGTGTTCCTGGAGTCACAACCCCTTGTGCTTAAGCAAAGCCCTGGCTGACTGAATGGGATGTTTCTATCGTGCTCGGAAGGTGGCTTGAGCTGCAAAGCTGCAAGTGAACAAGCTCCCTGGGCTCTGGAGTCCAGGCCAGTTCAGCTTGAGCCTCAAAGTTAATGGGATAAGAGGTTTACTGGTATAGCTTTACATCCAGGAATGAACGCTCATCCAGGAATGATTTGAAGGAACCTGGCTTTGACCTTGTCACTTGCTTCTGAAAATCCAGGTTTATGTGAGCTTAGGTAAATACTTGGACTTAATGCTACAGGAGATTGTTCTCTGAGCCCAAGAATATATGTACAATGAACTTAACTCTCTCTCTTCTTCCACAGAGGAAACTTCCCATGACTAACAAATGCTGGCCTAGATTATGAGCTCAAACAAGAACGCTCGCTACAATCGTTTTTCCAGTGGCACAACAAATATCACTACTTCCGAAAACACTAACGGGGTAAGGTTTGGTGTTGTTGGCAGAGGATAGGGGTTACGGTGGCAGCTTATGTTCTCATACTTTCTTTTGAGAAAATGAAGATGACTTTTGATCATTTCTTGCCTCTTAAAAATCACAATTTCCACAGATAAAAGTTGGGAATATATATGTACATTTTTTCACCAGTTTGGGATAGGTAGCTCTGCTGCAGTGGTACTCACTGACCTTCATTTTGTCAATATTTCAGACAAGAATGGAAACAACTTTTGGTCCAGCCTACTCTGCTGTGACAACCATCACAAAGGGTGAGTGTATTTCATGCATAGATCTTCTCCCCAAAGTGCTAGGTGTGATTCCTACCAGGTTTTTGTTGTTGTTGTTGTTGTTTTACAGATCATAAAGCTGTTGGGAGAATCACTGTGTTCATTACGGACAGGTGCCAAGGTGCTGGTTTTAGTATTATGCAGCCCAAGTGTTCTTTAATCATGGTATCTGATCACCAGGAGTGATGGAAATGAGCATGCACAGAAATTTTCTCCCATTAGGCAGACTTAACAGTACCACTGGGAAGCCCTTGCTGAAATTAGGATAGTACAACAGAGTTTGATACAGAACTCAGTCCCAAATCTTATTTGTCTCTATGACTTCTCACGCAATCATTACCAGCGCTGAGAATTCCCATCTTCACTCTCTGCCTGACTGTGCGTCACTCTGGACACTTTGGTGAAAACCCCGTGGGCATTTTTAACTCCGACAGGAGGGGGTGCAAGCGTACATGCTCATTTAAAATTCTTGTGCTTTGTTCCTCAAAGCGCAGCAGGTGAGGAGTCTGAGCCCTGACATGCGGTGTGAATGTAGGAAGAGGTCTGTTTTCAATTTGGAATAAAAATATCCTTACTTTAGTAAAGATAAACTGTGGCACTTGACACTGATTTAGATAAGGAAATCAACGTCTGCCATGGGGAAATGTTTGGATTACGTTTGTACAGGACTCTGGACTCTATATGTTTTTTGACTCCTGAATATTTACATTCAAAATTTTATATACATCAGTAATATGATCTTTAAACAAATATCTCCAGTTTAATTTAGCATGCTTCCCTTTGTCAAAGCAGTTTTTGTTGGTGACTGAAATATGTGGGAGTATAAGGTTTCCTTTTAATAGTATTTTTAACCTATGGATGTGGTAGAACATTATCTGTGCTCTTTTCTGGACAAGTGACCTTTAAAGGACTGCATGCATTTCAGCAAGCTATCCGAGATCAGGATGTTCTGCCTGCACTGATATATCCAGGTCAAGAACTGGAGTTGGGGAATCCCTAGTCTTTTCCAAGGAACACTTACAGCTGCAGAGACTGACCTGTAACTTGGAAACATCACTGAAGAACCTAAATGCTTGCTTTTTTTTTTTTCCTTTCTTTTCATTTGCTTTAAAGCTGACGGGACCAATACTTTTAAACAGCATCGTCGGACCCCATCCTCCTCCAGCACACTCACCTACTCCCCACGAGATGAGGACGATGGCATGGTAGGTGTTGCCAGGAGCCCCCCTGCTGACTCGCTTAGCTGATTAAATATCAAATGAGAGATGTCTGGTGCCCCTACCTCCCTCATCTTTTCCATGTGCTGCATTATATTGGAGGCAGATGTCTGCACCAGAGACAGGACTAGCCTCAAGGTTTCCTGGCTGCTCCCGTGGTTGGTGCAGTGAGGAAGCAGAGACTACTTCTGACCTGGGGCATTAGGCTAGCGCCTTTAGGTGCTCACATCAGATGAGCAGTGTGCTTTGGAGCTCCTGAGCTCAGGAGAAAACAGAGCTACTGTCAGCGATGTCTGGGGCTGTAGCTGAGGCCAGTCAGTCTTGATCAGAGCGTGTTGGATGGACCATCCAGCAGCACAGCTGGCCTTGCAGTTATGACCAGAAAAATCCATTCCTCTTTCTACCTCCAGATGGGGCTTCTGACCACAGGGAGCAGGTTTGAAACCTGCAGAGTGGGATGCCGGACACCACAGACTATGCTTGGCTCTTGGGGATTACATCATCAGGGTCTTCTCGCACAAATCATTCCCATGTCTTGCAGTATCTTTGTGAAAAGCGCTTCCCAATTTTGTACCCAGCTTTCTCATTCATCACACTCACTTCTGAGTAACTTTTTTGGGAGGAATTTAGTGATCCAACAGGCCTCAGGGTTAGCTGCTTAAAGAGAAATTAAGTCAGCTAAATCAATCAAATCAAGAAGAGCAACAGCAAAGCAAACCTCAGTGAATGGACAGATGGGTCTGAGGCCTTGATCTTCTCCTATCCCTAGTGCTCCAGCCATGTCTCATAACCACAAGCTTCTATTTAGATTTAAGCATGTGAGTAGTAGACTCCTCACATTAAGTAAGTTGTTGTAGACTTTGTCAGGTTATGAGACCCAGCTTCCAACTCAGGGATAAATGGATCGCTGCTGCTGCTCAAGTTAGGCACTGGCAGAGACTGGGGTCAGCAGCAGTATGGAGCTACAACACTTCTTAAAATAAATTTGACACCAGATTGCAAAGAGCTTTATTGTCAGCATCCTATAAAGTTCCTTCTGTTGCTCAGAGATCTTGCTCTTTTTTATGTGAGCGTGTGTTTGTTTTTTCAAAAAGTCCTTTGAACATTTGCCTCGTGTCCTTGGCAAATGCAGCTCTCCATCACATCACTGACCCCGTGGTGCTGGGCTGCTGTTCCAGGAAGCTCTTGGCTGTCAGCACTGATCCTGAGGGCTGTGCTCACTGCCCCCTTTTTACGAGCTGTGCAGTTCACACAAAGCGCAGGTGAGGATTTTTCCAGAGGAGCGGGGTGTGCTGGGGACATCACATTTAGCCACATCTGATAGAGAAGCTCCCTGACTCCTTTGAAAACTACAGTGTGGCAAACTGAGGTGTGCAGCCAAGAATAGGAGAGATCTCCCCTAGGACCCAGCCTCAGTCCTCTTGGACAGTCTCAGCCCACCTTCCCTGGATTGCTAAATATTCTTAAGCGAGAGGATTAATGAGTGGTTCAGGAAGCAGCCTGCAGCCCTGGGTGCTAACAAACCAGAGCTACCGCAGCCCTGCTCTGTCTGCTGCTCCAGACAAACTCTCACTAACCCTTTTAGGAAGCTGCTTTTGCTTTGTCAAGAAATAATCTGGGATTTCCCTTCCTCGTCACTGTTTTCCCTTCTCCAGAAGCTGCCAAGGGCTTGTCAGCCATCAGAGAGACAGCTGGAGACGAGTCAGAGCCCTCCCATGACCTCCACCACCCCTTTCTTTCTTTTTAAAGCTTCTGTTAATGAAACCAAAAGCAAAGCAGCCTGTTTTGTGTGCAAGGCTGGGATTATTGAGCGGCTGCTGTCATCTTTCCTGAAAACAGTGCCACAGGTTCCCAGCCTTGCTACGCCTACAGGGAGCGGGAACGACGACTGTAGTAGAGCCTTCAAGTGGAGGCTGCTTTTATAGCTGACATGATGGGAACTGCACCTAAAGGTTACAGCTGAATATTGGTGCAAATGTATACTAATGGATGAGGAGCTGACTGGCTGTCCAAAGTCTCAGTTTACAGGGAGCTTTACCTCTGAAGCAGAGGCTGGACTGAGTTACCAGCCAGCCCCAAGCTATCCATCTTCCATCAAAAGATGTTTGACCACTCCATCCTTGGGCTGTGTGAAGGTCAACTTGATGTTAAGTGCAGAAATAGCCCTGACACAGCTCTGGGGAGGTGGAACCCTTCTGACAGATCTTTCCAAATCCAAACCTGGCGGAAGCAGTGCCGCTTGTACCACCTTGCCCCTGTGGCCAGGCCTGGTGGCCCCTGGCTTTGGTGCATATGAGTCCCCCACAACCTGGGCAGATGCCCATAGGGTGGAGGTCCTGTGGTCCTCACTCCCTATTATTCTGTTTGCAGTGCAAGAGCTCCCTGCACCAGTCCCCTCGTGCTGGCTGCTCTACACACGACTGGTGCTGCAAAGTTCACTCTAAATAGCCAGGCTAGGAGTGGGAAACAGTGCAGTCCCTGACCCTGTAGAGGTGAGGTCTCTCGAGTCTTAGTCTTGTTTGCTTGGCAAAAACAAGGGCTGCAGATACATAGAGGGGCAGTAAACACCGGCGCAGACCTCTGCCATTCATTATTGTTACTACAGCCCAAGTGGAGTGATCTTTCTCGGCACATCACTTTCACTCCTGCATAGTTTACACCGGCATTAGCCCAGCTGGGACACACGGATCTGAGCCCGCAGTGCTGCACAAGCCTTGGAAGGCTGTGTCTCACACCCCTGCCTCCTGGAAGTGCTCTTGGGCTGCAGTCCCCCTCCTCTCCATTGGTGATCCGCACAGGATGTTGCTCTCCATCAAACTGCCTCCCTGGAGAGCCTGCCTTTGCTGCCCTCATTTCTCTTGTCACCTCCAGAATGGGAACTATGCACAGTCATTCTTGTTATTTTGATAACTTCTGTTACTAGTGGAGGAAAATAGTAAAATTAATGGAGACGCATAAAATTGATTTACCTTGTTATAACCATTCCTCCTCAAGGTTTACATATTTAGCCAATACATATGCCTTCTTTAATAAAAAGAGCTTTATGCTTTGGCTTCCAAGCAGATGCAGCATTTCTGAGCTCCTAGGATTCCAGTACCATAAAAATTAAGAAGCAGAGCAGTGTGAAGAACCAGCAAGATCCTGGTCTGCTCCTCTTCTGCAGTCCAGCAAGGACTGCACTCGGGTTGCAATATCATCTGTTTCTGGGGAAGACAGCAGTCTCTGAAGCTCATTTTCCTTTTTTCATTGCTGGTTTTCCTGACTGCCCCACTGGCCGCCTATATTGCTTTTGTCAGTCCTTGGGTCTGATGTTACATACATTCACCCAGGGCAAGCACACGTAACGTGGCTCGGGAGGTTCAGATTGAACACAAGGAAAATGTTTTGCTCACAAGGTAGTGCAGGACAGGAACCCAGGGCGGCACAGTCTTGTCCGTGCAGTTTTCCTCATTCCAGCTGGGTGCTGCCAGGGCTAATCTGATCCACGGCCAGGAAGAATCCCTCTTCAAGTGGGCAGCAGGGCCAATGATCTCCAAAGCTTCCACCCAGCACTTCTAAGAGTTTGTGACTGTTGTAGGCTACGGTCAAGCCATGTACAGCTGTGATACATGCAGGTGCAGACAGCCTAGGCATTGGTCATCTCTTGATGTTTTAGTGTCTGAAGCTTATGGCTTCATTCTCCCATTTCTTTGTCAGCCCATACGTTCTGCTCCTTGAAGACTCTTGTTGCTTCTCTCTGCGCTCTTCCCAGTCTGCCAGCAGCGTCTCTTCCAGAGTAACCCAGCAGTGGCTGTGCTACCAGCTGTTGTAGACCCCCAAATCCAATCACCCTGTGGTCTGAAGAGTCCCCAGTTTTGCTTTGATGCTGAATTGCATCTTGACTACATGCTGTTGGTTGGTATTCTACCCCTAGAGATGTTCTGCTGGTTAATATTCTAGCGCCAGCATTTGCTCAAAGCCAATCCCAAGGCCGCCGTAAGCAGTGGGATTTTTCTTGATTGGTGCATGCGATGTCCACTTAGCTCTCCCCTCCCGAGCAGGAAGCGACAAAGCCAGTCTGTTACTGAATTGAATAGAAGGAAGTCTCCACACTTACGCAAAGAAATTTGGCAGAAGTTAGATAGCGAGTGAAACAACAAGTGCTGCTGCAGAGATTATAGAAATTGCAGAAGCTGGTAGCTGTCTCTGGGGGAGATTTACAAAGCTTTCTGTGAAGGATTAATTCTTCCAAACCATTGCTTTGCGGGTGCGCACAGTAAGTATACAAACAAATGCACCTTTGAGAAAGTTACGTGCTTGGAATTTAGATGTCAGCTTGGTTTAGTAAGTTAAACCTGAATGATGCCTGTCCTGTCTGTGAGCATGGTGCAGTGTTGCTGGCTGCTGGGAAGGGCACACAGCAGCGAGATGTGCTGCTTCTGGGGGCTGCTCAACGCAGCTTAGCAGAGTGGATGAACAAATGGAGCAGCTGAGTTTTGTGGAGGAGGGAGGACTGAACTTGCAGTCTCTGTGCATAGGGTTTTGGAGCGGGGGGAGTTATTTGCAATAACAAGAACTGTTTTTTTTCTCTTTGAAGC